TGGCCATTATTTTGAAAAAAAAAAAATGATGTTTTGAATATTGATTTTTTGGAGAATGTGTAATTGAAATGTAAGAAAATTTTTGAATTTATGTGCAAAATATTTTATTATGTAAATGTATGGTTGAAAATGAGTATGAGAATTGATGAATTTTGGAAAACACCATCAAATTCACTCATGATCAAGTTATAACCTAAGATCTATGACCGTTCATATTTCGTTCATTACATCGATATGCTCTTTGAAACGACGAGTGACAGACAAATGAAATAATATTTTGTTAAGTTCAATGATAATTCTTTTTACAGTTCAATGATTGGAAAATGTTTGAAAAAAATAAGTGATAAACTTTTAAAGTTTAACTACAATTGAGAATTATTTGAAAAATATAATAGCAACAAGGATAATTAATCCCCATATCTCTTATTGATATATTCACTAGATAGGTTCAACTATTACGAAAGGTTTCGAGACCCGAGATCAATGTCGTACCCTCCGAGTTGACTCCACGGAGGCTCCCATGAACCTTGGGCCTTAAACGGGGACCTAAGAATTGGGAGCCGTGATTAGGAGTAAATCAAGTTGCAGAATCGAAAATAACTCGTCCTAGATATTAAGTCAACTCATGGTCAGACATGACAAATTTTGACCTTCATTTAATTTCAATTAATCTACTATATATCTTAGAATACATTAACAAGGTTAATTCAATATGACATGTAAGATGCATTCGCATGCCCACTTGAGTAGATGATCGACATTGAGTCTACATATAAGACCCCGCTCGAGTTCTAGAACCAACTTATATTTCATATTTTTCGATAATGAAAATTTTGAGAGTAAGTCAGCCCAGAGACACGAACTAGTAACTACTTCTCTCCGTTCGAGGTCGGGTTTTAGTCACACCACAAAATATTTTAGTGTATTTTATTTTTCAATTTCCCCAACAAAATATGCATGCAAATTGTAACCGATACTATCACTCTACAGTCTACTCTATCGGTGTGATGTCGACGCCTACCCATTCACTTCCTCTACCCACTCTCTTCTTCATTGATTACACCTCAAATTCTGCAAACAAAAGTAGCCATAATGGCATAGAATTCCCCCATAATTAATCTCTATAATAACACTAAACAATTATTCAAATAACCAAACCATGATTAAATCCTATTTCATTCATATTTTTTCTGTAATTCTACTCCTCGAATTTCAATTATTCGAGTCAAGCTACCATGATTACACCGACGCGTTGTCTAAATCCATACTCTTCTTCGAAGGGCAGCGATCGGGGTACCTTCCACAGGACCAACGAATTACATGGCGAGGAAATTCCGGCCTCGGCGATGGGTGGATGGTTAATACAGACTTGACCGGCGGTTATTATGACGCCGGAGATAATGTCAAATTTGGGTTTCCGATGGCATTTACGACCACAATGCTTTCTTGGAGTGTGATTGATTTTGGGGAAAACATGCCGGCGTCAGAGCTGAGAAATGTTTTAGTTGCGATTAAATGGGCGACGGATTATCTTCTCAAAACTGTTTCTCAACCAAACCGCATTTTTGTTCAGGTAATAACACCTATATCTGTAAATTTTGTGGGTTTTAAACTTTAATACAATGTTAGTCACTCAAATTCGGAACGTTTGTGTATAAATTAATATTTTTGTTGTAGTCTAGGTACTCCTCCGTCTACTCCATTTGCTAAACTTTAGCTAAAAATTTTAGTAAATTGTAATAAAGTGAGTAAAATATATAGTTGAAAAGTTGTTCAATAAAATGTGCAGTTGAAAATTTTTTTTTGGAAATGATGGCGAAATAGAGGCTTAATGTAATGCTTCCTCGGAGTATCTCCAATTGTGGTTTAAAATTGGTCTCTTCAAAATCACTTTTGTATCCTCATTTACGTCTAGTAGATGTAAATTCAAATTCTGGTCCAATAGAAAAATCTAATCCACCTTTTGCCTTTTACATTTTCTGTTGAAAAATGCAATTTGCATCTCCTTTGCATCTCTCCATTGAAGAAGTTTTCTACCACTTTGAAGATCTAAATCTCTATTTTACACCACCATCGAAGATGATCTTAGTTGTAGAATTTCAGTTTGTAGTTGCGATGCAGTGGTGGTGGGGAAGAAACTTCTTCTGGAGAAAGCCCACAATTACTCGAGTTCAGATCCGGTTGGGCATGCTTTGTTAGCCTAATTTTGGTGTGTTTAGGGTAGATATTATAAAGACTTTCTCCGCATTGGCGTTTTAATTAGTGCCATAAATTGTACATGTTGGTCTATTATTTATATAATATATATTGTACTATGGGAGATGCTAGAGGTACATCATCTCTTATATCGGGGTGTCCATAATGGACATCCGGCATCTCCTCATTGGAGGGAGTGTCGACATGTTTAAGGTAGATATTGTAAAGACTTTCTCCGCATTGGCGTTTTAGTTAGTGCCATAAATTGTACATGTTGGTCTATTATTTATATCATATATATTGTACTATGGGAGATGCTAGAAGTACATCACCTCTTATATCGGAGTGTCCATTATGGACATCCTTATATAAGTAGTGATGTACCACTAGAATAATCCTTGTACTATTTCTTGTCCTTATATCTTACAAATTTCGGTTTTGATAAATGTGAAGTGATCGTGTGGGGAACTTGTGGTTCAAGAGTATCTGAACTGACCTTGTGGCTTAGAAGGAAACTAGGAAAGATACATGGTTGAGATTTGAGAGGTGATTTTATGAATTTTGTCTGTTTTGGACATTTTGGGTCCCTCAGTAAAATTACACTGAGTGCGCGAATTCCAATTAAAGGAAAACCACAAACTTTCATCCAAGAGTTATGATAGTCAGGCACGGTAATTGGGGACGGGGGAAGGAAACAGGTGCGCGCGTCAGCACCTCGTTTGGGTCATTTTTTTTAAAACTGTCCAATTAATTAATGACACGTGTCCCATCGATTTTTAACCATGTCTCCAACCCTATTTTGTAGCAAAACTCTTCATCCAACGTAGCTAAAGTATGCAGTAAATTTGAACTAATTTATGGGTTAAAGTTCGTCAAAAAGTGTAAAATATTTTGCTGTAGCAGAAGAATTATTAGAAGTGCTATTGTCTGTCGGAGTTATGTACTCGATAAAGATACTCGTTAGTGAATTTCTGGTGTA